ATATATATATATATATATATATATATATATATATATAGAGAGATGAAGGTGAATTTTAGCGTATTTATATTTTGAATAAACTCTCCAGTGACCGAGAGGGTTCAATTCATAGAAGAGCTTTGCTTTATCAGCAGCAGTAATCACTGTTTACAAATTCGCGCTTTCACCTCAGAGTGCTCGACCGAAATTAATTTTTTCAGGGGCGTATACTTATATATATATATATATATATATATATATATATATATATATATATATATATATATATATATAGGCAGGGTGTAGTAATGGATAGCGCCTTGGATATTGAGCCGATTTTGAATTCTAGTCGAATTCATTTCATTCACTTACGTGCTAAAACTCTTGGGAAAGTTATGAATCCTCTTCTTCTTACTCCAGCTATGGGTAAAAACAGCAGGACAGACTGGGTTCTATAGCCTTGGACGGCAACTGGTCTAGAAGAAGGACAACTCTGAAGTCAAAACTTGCGGAGGGTCGTTTTTGGGACATTGTGGCACGTATTGCACCAGGTCTTTCTATTCGGCCCTTCGAAAAGTGTGGAAGCAAGTACTTCCCAGATGTTTATATTTACACGAGCAGCATGGCCCGGCGTTGCCCGTGCTTGATTAAAAAATCGTACGACTCATACAACAATCGCTATCACTTGACTTAAAATATTTTTGCCCTTCCGTGCCTTTAAACGAGTGCCCTTTGCCGTGCTGATGTTGCTACATGCCTAACTTCTTGGCTATCTCACACTGTGATTTTGTTCTAAGCTCTATACTAAACATTAAATCTGTTACGAAAAAAGAACTAAACAAAATGAAGACAAAACGATCAGCTTTAAAAAAAGGACTCGTAAGTGGAAAAACCGAATGAAAAAAGAATGTTAACTACAAATACATTTTCACACCCAAACCAGTTCTGCGGAATCATAATCAACGTTGAGTTTAAGCAAGCGAATGAGCCAATTGGAGTAAAGTGCCATGCAGATTTAAATTTTTCCCACTTGTGTCGAATGCAGGTATCGATTCTTTTTTGCATGCTAGCATGCTATTTAACATTCATGATAGTCAGCTGTTGGCTCTCACGCTGGCCAATAGAATCTTCCTGCCTATTCGTGGCAGCCAGCTATAGGCACTCACTTTGGCCAGTACAAAATGGCCGCAAACTACATGAAAACTGCCGTAGAAGCATGAAAAAATCGATTTCCATTATCGATGGGAGTTGGTAAATGCAAAGTCGGTCTTGGCCTTTCCGCTAACTTGGAGCATGTGCATGTAAATTTTGGTGTAAATCCGTCGAAAATTGTGGCCGTGCATAAGTTACACACACACACACACACACACACACACACACACACACACACACACACACACACACACACACACACACACACACACATCCTGCCTTTTATAGATAGAGATATATCGTTTTCAGTTTGTCCTCATATTGTCTTTATAGTTTTTGCGGGGCTTACTCTGCTACCGTTTTCCTTGTGTGATCTCCCCATACAAAACCTGTTTAGGAATGCGTGAGTCTTCTAGGTGGACAATGTAACCAAAGCAACTAATTTGGAATTTCTTAAGCATGCGCTCAGTATTGCAGATATTGCCAACTGTATTTTGTATCAGGCACATGTGACGCAAACAACGCCGATGAAAGCACTCAAGGCGCTGAAAATGCCTGCGGTAAGTTGTCCATGTCTCATAGCCGTATAGCGTGGCTGTTAACTCACATGCATGATACACCTCAACTTTTGTTATTGCATTTATGTCTGATTGTGATCAATGCCGTGACTCAAATTTGCCAAATCATCACATCGCTTCGAGATTCTATAAGAGATCTCTTCGTCAAGTGTAATTGGGTCTAGAAAAAGTATAAGTGAGGGAGACAAACGTATCTATGACATCTAGCCGTTTAACTTGAAAAATCGATGGTACCCCATCTCTCCATGAAGTCTCAAAAATAGTTATAAAAAAGCGAAGATTATATCTTGCGATGAGCCTTTACCTTTTAAGATTTTTTAGTAGTTGTCACTGTTATTGTGTATGGCTCGTCATGTGAATATAAAACATACGCAGTGTTAAAATATTTTTAATAAAAATAAATAAGTAAATAAATAAATAATAATAATAATAATAATAATAATAAAAATCTGCAATTTCTACGGGAAGGAAACTAAATCTGCAACTTCTACGGGAAGGAAACTGAAAGAAACTGGTATGAACACCACCCAGACCCGGTTACGGAAATAGGACCTGTTACAATTCTATGAGACTACACAATACACACTGACAGAACAATCAAAGGCAACCGCCCAGATATTGTTATTAAAGACCACAAACAAAAACGGTGCCTCCTTGTTGATATGGCAGTCTCTGCTGACTGCAATGTATCTTTGAAGATATTCAAAAAGATGTCAAAATACAAGGACCTTGAAATAGAAATCTCGAAAATGTGACGCATAGGAACATCTACAATCCCTGTTGTAGTTGGAGCCCTAGGAGTGGTTGGAAAAGATTCCAGTAGATTAATTGAAGGGATTCCTGGAAGTCCATGCCTCAAGGAGATACAAAAAATTGTTCTGACAAGTACAGCCCACACTTTACGAAGGGCTTTATCTATGTAATTTTTTTTTTTTTTTTTTGTCAGTGGAAAGTGTCATGATGCCATTTCTAAACTTAAGTCCCTGGGCGGGACCCGGAAAGAAATGTGTAAACGTCAGAAATCAAAGAAAATAAAAAATAATAATCTGGGAACAAAAATCTGAAACATAAATTCGGCAGTAGCGTTAAATGTTGGCGATGATCCTGAAAAGCAAGAATTTTGGACGAACCGGAAACCCAAATTAATATCGAGATCCTACAACGAAAAGCATTTCGGGAAACAACCAGAACACCGAGGAAAGAAGAAATGGATAGCACTTTATCTCTAATGTAAAACATTGATTACTCGTGGTTTGAAAGGTCAATGAATAAAGAGGATGTTAGACAAAAAAAAAAAAAAAAAAGAAAGAAAGAAAGAAAGAAAGAAAGAAAGAAAGGGAGAGAATTGCAGGAATAATATCCAAGATAAAATAAAACGAAGCAACAATAACAAACAGAATAATGACAACAATGACAATGATGGTAATGATGGTGACTTTGGCATATTTTTGCATTTAAATAATAGCAGAGCTCATCTAATCATAAATCGTGATATTTACTTTTCGGTTAAAATCATTATAGTAACAGTTACACCAAGTAGACTTTTGCAGTCATAATAATAGCAAAATAAATAAATACAATAAGTAAGGCAATTATATTAATTCCGATTAGAATGACAGTAACTTTGCCAAAATTGCTGATAAAAGGGTAATTATAAAAATAATACCTACAATAAAACGAAATATATTAGAAAAAAAAACAACAAAAACAACACCGATAATAATAATCATAATAATAATAATAAAAAGAAGAAGAAGAAGAAAAAGAAAAAGAAGAAGAAATAGAAAAAAAGAAGAGGAAGAGGAAGAGGAAGAAACAGATGAAAATATTCAAGCGTAAATCGTATCAGTAATAAATTACATATTATTTGGAATAAATGCTTTCCAATTCCACCTTTCAGAATGAAATTTGGTTAGACTCTTAAAGAAAACGAAATCAAATCGTAATAATGAAATATATATATTTATTAAAGACATTTTATTATGTTTAACGTTATTATTTTATAGATACAAGTATTTAAGCAAATGCTCTGTTTATGATAAACAGTATTAAATAACATTTACCGGCATGAATGTCCGAGAAATTTTCATAGAAAATATTCGTTCTTTGACAGGATTCGAACCTGCATCCTATACGGAACCGTCATATACGCTGACGTGCCTTACCGATAGGCTACAAAGAAGCGTTCGGTAGACAAGGTCGAATTTACTGCTTATAAACTCCAATTTTCCATGAATCTCGTACATTCATAACTGCTCTGGCGTATCGAATGTAAACAAATGACGTCATATATTAAGAAATGGACAAGGTCCGACAATTTATTTATTAAAGACATTTTATTATGTTTAACGTTGCTTAAGTACTTGTATCTATAAAATAACAACGTTAAACATAATAAAATGTCTTTAATAAATAAATTGTCGGACCTTGTCCATTTCTTAATATATATATATATATATATATATATATATATATATATATATATATATATATAAAGAAACAATGAGATAGATATATAGAAAGAAACAATGAATAGATAGATAGATAGATAGATAGATAGATAGATAGATAGATAGATAGATAAAAAGGAAAAATTAGACAGATAGGCAGATAGACAGAAAGACAAACCGATGGAGAAAGAATGAGATAAAAAGAAAAAAACAATGAGATCTATACATAGAAAGAAAAAAGAGATAGATAGATAGATAGATAGATAGATAGATTGAAAGAAACAATGAGATACACCCTTGTGCAAATTAATTGAAACCAAACAAATAATTCCGTTATTAATTAATATTTTGTATTTTTCTAATGGAATATGACCCGGTGCACATTTTAGTTCTTCGTATATCCGCCTTTATTTTTTAGAAACTCTTTGATGCGATTTGGCATGGAATTCCTTACTTTGGAGTAGTTTTTATTGATTTTGAGTTCACGGTACCACACGTCAATAATGGCGGTCCCGAGATTCTCTTTCTTCATACAGACCGCGATCTCTATGGAAGACTTGCTACAATTTTCGTACGCTTCCTTGTAGTAACGTCCATCACAGATGTAGGAAAACTAATCGACAGTCAAAACAATAGTGTCTGGGCGTGACGAAAATTTGATGCAATGAAGCAATATTTTTCAACGTTAAACAAATTTCGTCATAGATTCATATTACTGCAAACGATTGCAAATGGCCAAATCTGAGGATAAATTAGAAATCGATTACACCCTGTCATTCCAGTGGGTCTAAAACTTATCGTATGGTGAAAGAAAGGAAACTCAAGTGGTTGTTTCAATTAATTATTTCAAGGGTGTAGATAGATAGATAGATAGATAGATAGATAGATAGATAGATAGATAGATAGATAGATATAAAGAAAGGAACAATGAGGAGAGAGAGAAAGGTAGATAGAAACAATAAGCTAGCTTGCTGGCTAGATAGCTATCTCGATAGATACATTTTAAGAAACAATGAGGTAGATACGAAGATAGATCGAAAAATTGAGATAGATTGATAGATAGATTGAAACAATGAGATAGCTAGATTGAAACAATGAGATAGATAGATCGAAAAATTGAGATAGATATATAGATAGATAGATTGAAACAATGAGATAGCTAGATTGAAACAATGAGATAGATAGATCGAAAAATTGAGATAGATATATAGATAGATTGAAACAATGAGATAGCGAGATTGAAACAATGAGATAGATAGATCGAAAAATTGAGATAGATATATAGATAGATAGATTGAAACAATGAGATAGCTAGATTGAAAACAATGAGATAGATAGATCGAAAATTGAGATAGATATATATAGATTGAAACAATGAGATAGATTGAAACAATGAGATAGATAGATCTTGAGATTGAAACAATGAGATAGATAGATTAAAACAATGAGAAGATAGATCGAAAAAATTGAGATAGATATATAGATAGATAGATTGAAACAATGAGATAGCTAGATTGAAACAATGAGATAGATAGATCGAAAATTGAGATAGATATATAGATAGATAGATTGAAACAATGAGATAGCTAGATTGAAACAATGAGATAGATAGATCGAAAAATTGAGATAGATATATAGATAGATAGATTGAAAACAATGAGATAGCTAGATTGAAACAATGAGATAGATAGATCGAAAATTGAGATAGATATATAGATAGATTTGAAACAATGAGATAGCTAGATTGAAACAATGAGATAGATCGAAAAATTGAGATAGATATATAGATAGATAGATTGAAACAATGAGATAGCTAGATTGAAACAATGAGATAGATAGATCGAAAAATTGAGATAGATATATAGATAGATAGATTGAAAACAATGAGATAGCTAGATTGAAACAATGAGATAGATAGATCGAAAATTGAGATAGATATATAGATAGATAGATTGAAACAATGAGATAGCTAGATTGAAACAATGAGATAGATAGATCGAAAAATTGAGATAGAATGAGATAGATAGATTGAAACAATGAGATAGCTAGATTGAAACAATGATAGATAAAAATTGAGATAGATATATAGATAGATAGATTGAAACAATGAGATAGCTAGATTGAAACAATGAGATAGATAGATCGAAAATTGAGATAGATATATAGATAGATAGATTGAAACAATGAGATAGCTAGATTGAAACAATGAGATAGATAGATCGAAAAATTGAGATAGATATATAGATAGATTGAAACAATGAGATAGCTAGATTGAAACAATGAGATAGATCGAAAAATTGAGATAGATATATAGATAGATAGATTGAAACAATGAGAAATTGAAAAAATGAGATAGATAGATCGAAAAATTGAGATAGATATATAGATAGATAGATTGAAACAATGAGATAGCTAGATTGAAACAATGAGATAGATAGATCGAAAAATTGAGATAGATATATAGATAGATAGATTGAAACAATGAGATAGCTAGATTGAAACAATGAGATAGATAGATCGAAAAATTGAGATAGATATATAGATAGATAGATTGAAACAATGAGATAGATATATAGATAGATAGATTGAAACAATGAGATAGATATATAGATAGATAGATTGAAACAATGAGATAGCTAGATTGAAACAATGAGATAGCTAGATCGAAACAATGATATATATATATATAGATAGATCGAAACAATGATATATATATATATAGATAGATCGAAACAATGATATATATATATATATATATATATATATATATATATATATAGATAGATAGATAGATACATACATAGATAGATAGATAGATATAACTATCAGATATATAGATATAGAGAAAGGAACAAGGAAATGGATTGAAAAAAAAACAATGCGATAGTTACATAGAAAGAAAAAAATGAGATAGATAGGAACAATGCAATAGATAGATTGATAGCTAGCTAGACAGAAACAATGAGATAGAAAAATATATAAACATAGATAGATAGATAGATAGATAGATAGATAGATAGATGCCATGTAGATATATATATAAATAGGAAAACAGGATGATGGGTGGATAAAATAATATATTTCTTTCGTGTGAGTGCGTATGCAAGCTTCCTATTAAAAGACATGATTCGCAGTTAATTATTTTAAAAAAGAAATTGCATTTCATTTACAATATATACAGGAGAAATAAGGCGAGATTAACGAACAAATAATTTAAATAAAGAAATAAAAATTCTTAATTAATATCAATAAATATCTTTCTTAATTCATATTGATATCTGTTCTATGTAATTTTACACAAATAAATATTAATTTAAAAAAAAGAAAGAAGCTTTATTCTAGAAATTAATGGATGATAATTATATGCGTTGGCGCCTATTGTAGAGAGAGGTCTGCATGTTTGTTTCTTTGGCGATTCTAAATTGAACCGAAAGTCGCTGTTGAGTACGCCTTTATTTCAAGGGAAGGTGAAATCAGTATGTAAGTCTAAATTTAATATTTGCATTGTACTCAATAATGCAAACACAAGGGAAGTATCTATCTATCTATCTATCTATCTATCTATCTATCTATCTATCTATCTATCTCTCTCTCTCTATATATATATATATATATATTAAAAATTATATCACATGTATATTATAATATCACGAAAAAATGCAATTTTGTTGCAACACAAATGGTGTTTAAACAAAATTGCATATATTATAAGTTGAATAAATATTATTAGCTCTACTCGGTATTGAGCACTCTTTACGAACCGTGTAGTTGTATATATATATATATATATATATATATATATATATATATATATATATATATATATCATATTGATGATTACACATAAACCTACTTTTTACAGTGCGAGAGGGTTTCAAGCTTTTTCCTTTAATCAGGTACAAAATTTTAGAAACTGTTCAATAGGTTTGAATTTAAAAAAAGTATGTCATGTGACCAACGTTACATTATTCCATTTGAACATCTGGTTATCCCAATATTGACGTAATTATATATTATGCTGGGATTGCCGATTATCTATTTTAAAATTATGTTTGGTAATTAAAATTATTATTATTTATATAATTATATATATATTTATATATGTATGTAAAAAAGTAAGTAAAAAATTATATTTTAGTGTTGAACATTCATATTTAAAATTTTTGAAACGTTTTAACTAAAGCGAGATCATTTTTTCTAATTTAAACAAAAACATGAATATATATTCAGAGAAATAAACAATAGTTTCCATTAAAAAGCCAAAATTAAGAATTAAAAATTACTATTAAGTAAAAATTAAAATATATATTAAGAATATATATATGTGTGTGTGCATGTGTGTATGTATGTACATAAAATATATATATATATATATATATATGTGTGTGTGCATGTGTGTATGTATGTACATAAATATATATATATATATATATATATATATATATATATATATATATACATATATATATATATATATATATATATATATACATACATATATATATATATATATATATATATATATATATATATATATATTACGGTCATGACTTATCGATTAGAGAAAAAATATTAAAATGTGTAATTTGGTATGAGTTTTGACTAATAATTATAAAATAATTGATTTCCTGAATCATAATTCTATGACATTTTAGTCAAAATTAATGAAGATGTGTGCAATTCAGTTTATTTTTTAAATGCCGCCCCAATACGAAATATATCTAAAAACGTATATAAACATTGTAGTGCTATGATTTTCTGGATCCTTCTGGTATTTCTGGAACATTCTAGAACTTCTTGAGTCCATTTACTCTGTTATGGAACCTTCTAGAACCTGTTTTCCTTATTTGTAAATTTGTACATTACGCTATAGCTACAAATAGTTAAATGTTTTAAAATATACATAAATTACATCATTAGCAATTTGAATTTTCAGATTAGTGGTGACTTTTATCAAGAACTAAAACCAATCATTGGCATTTTTATGGAACATTTCATCGATTTATAACATATGAACATATGGTTAAAAATGGTCATTACACTAATATGCATACAGACACACACAATATATATATATATATATATATATATATATATATATATATATATAATAAAAAATCAAAATAATATAGTACAGCACAATGAATTCTAATCAAATATGTGAAATTATAAACCAAATCTCTCAAAAATGTCATGGAAAATAAGTAAAACTGCAAACGTCTAATACAATTAATCCTAAAATTGTAAACGTTCTTATGAGGGGAAAATTACTATAATACCCTTCGCAGACCAACACAAATGACTAAATAAACGATCAGAACCCATTTTAAAATGCAGAAACGTGAACTAATTTTGACTGCATAACTTAAAATTCGAAAACTAAAAACGAACAAAAATAAAAATAAATAAATTAAAAAAATTAATTAAAATAAAATAAGTAAGTTAAATAAATTAATCAAACTCAATAAATAATTAAATAAATTAAGAAAACAATACTCAAATTACCAAACTACGAATGCACACATTAACGCATTAAACGTAATAATAAAAATCGATAAACATAACAAAAATAATAAAATCAATAAAGTTAAAAAAAAAAAAATATACAATTTATAATAGCCACAAAATGCATCCGGATTCACAGTTATGTAGCTTCAATGGCGCCCACAGTAATTTGAAACATATCTATTACCGTCCAACCAATAAACGTTAGTATAATAAAATAGACCTACTCATAGAACACCACTGAACAGCATATATAAATAGTCGAACCAAAACGCAACACAGAATGCACACCCACGCGCTCGCGCACACGCTCTCACACGCACACACACATACACATTAATATATATATATATATATATATATATATATATATATATATATATAGAGAGAGAGAGAGAGAGAGAGAGAGAGAGAGAGAGACAGACAGACAGACAGACAGAGATATGAAAAAATGAGATAGTTAACAGACTGAGAGAGAAAGATAGATATGAAAATTATGAGATAGAAAGATATAAACAGAGTGAGATAGATAGATAGATATATAGATAGATAGATAGATATGAACAAACTGAGATTGCACCCTGTCATTCCAGTGGGTCAAAAACTGACCGTGTGTTGAAAGAAAGGAAACTAAAGTGGTTGTTTCAATTAATTATTTCAAGTGTGCCGATAGATAGATAGATAGATAGATAGATAGATAGATAATCACCAGGTTGATAACTTACCGATTTCGAGCCTTCTGCGGGTATAACTTACTTCTTTTATATGCCGTGTTCATTCATAGGCGGGAACAGAGGCGTTCATGGCCCTCCACATCTTCCTGACCCTTGTAGCTCTTAATAACTTTTGTCTTTCTTATTCCTCCCAAACCCTGTTCTGTCATCCACTTGATCATTATGTATGTAATGCTTTGCTTTCCTCTGTATATCTTCTCTTCTATCCGTCCTGTAAGTATCAGAGTTTCCAAGCCCTCATTTCTCATTACGCATCCCAGAAATTTCAGCTTCCTCTTTGCTTCCTTTCTCTCACAAACCTCGTCGTTTGCCATGGTATCCTTAGCATTCTTCTGCAGAAGCACATTTCTGTTGCTTCTAGTCACTTCTTTGAAGAGATGGATACAAAACGAAAATAAAAAATGTTCGCCTATAACAAAAATAAAATGGAAATAATGGAAATTCATTCTAAAGAATATGTAAAACTTCAACTACGAACATAACCAAGATATACTGGCCGTATTCAGAAATTAAAATATGGTTATTTCTCAGCAAAAATCTTGAAAATATCAAACAGACGAACCGATTCGATATTCTCTTGGTCTCTGTCTGTCTATATCTGTCTCTCCCTGTCTCTATTTGTCTGTCTGTCTATCCGTCTTTCTGTCTCTGTGTGTGTGTCTCTCTCTCTGTCTCTCTCTCTCTCTGTATATATATATATATATATATATATATATATATATATATATATATATATATATATATATATATATAATATATATACGTTTCATTAAATAATATAGACAAGTTTGTCTATTTATTTTATGTAAAATTTTTCGTATCTTCTGATAAGTTTGGTAACATTATCATTTACCGAAAAAAGAAATTCACAATATTTATCCATTATTTTTAATAAAATCTAAGCTTTTCGGCTTACTCAAGCCATTATCAAAGATGTAAATACAAACATATCAAACGATATATGGACACGACAGTGATGATATAGTCTGTCATTGTTTTGTTTACATAGTGGATCACTAAGCAACGATGAACACGCGCATATAAGACGCTAGAAGCGAAAATCGCACCGCATCTCATGACGTCACACATGACTAAACGAGAGTGAATTGGAGAATGAAATAAGGAAAGCCGTTGGTATAACCAATGGCTTCTGTTACCAATTATTGAAATTATAGACATTTAAGAATATTTGTAGAGATGCCATAATTGATTTTGTTTAGGTTGGGTTTTAACTGTTTGATGTATAATGCTTCAAGTATTTTTAGTTTTTGTCTATTGTTTTCATGTCGAAGTATAGTTGTGTTTTCGACAAGTATTTTACGGAATTGTGTGTGCGGGCAGGCATGTTGTTTTAAATGCCTAAAAATGTTAGAGTTTTCATTAAGATGTAGTGTCAAGCGTCGTGAAAGCGAGTTTGTGGTGTGACCAACATAAATATTATTTATATATATATATAAAAGAGAAAAGTGTATATTTTAAAAAGAAGAGAGAAACCGCAAACGTTTTTGGTTGTAATGTGGACTTTTCTTAAAAAATACATATATTGTGCTTTATTTTCCATAATTTTGAAAAACGTGTTTCGAGTCTGACAAACTTCTTCAGGGATATTTCAATATATAATTAAAATGAATTAAATTTTCTTATGTTTTTTCGATGTTAAACATTCTCTTTCTTTGTGCTGTAGTGACACAAATATCTTTCTTGGACTGTGTATATATATATATATATATATATATATATATATATATATATATATATACACAGACACAAATACATATATACTGTCAT